TTTGCGCAATGGCGGTGGACTAGCCTGAATTCCCACAAAACCCAGGTATTACAAATGTGGAGGATGGAAGAAAACAGACGAAGAAAGAAAAGAACAAAAATAATAAAAATAAGTGCTCAAGATCATGACGCACACTGTCGAACCGGCACATCTTCTTGCTTCTTTATCATCCCCCCAGCTACATAGCTTTTCTGGCGCTCACTAGAACGAAAGGAAAGAGAAAGTGTTTGCAACAAATCCCTGTTGCTCTGCTTATACTTGTTCGATTCTAAAAGCTTTTGCAGCAGTCAATTCATGGGGCAATGAGATCTCCAAGTTAAGACACTCAACAATTGCTTAGAAAAGTACTACAGGGCTCCTTTAATGCATCTGTCCTCCTGAATGCCTAGTATTGAGGCCGTGTTAATCTTAAGGGCTCCTAAGTAATCCTAAAAGTGGGGTACTAGATTCTAAATTATTAAACTAATAAAATTGATTATCTAAATGTCTGTTACTGCTTGGAAACCATAATTTCTCAAGTGTTGATTTTTTTAATTCAACATAAGTGCATAGAACTACTGTACCAGAATTAAAATTATGCACTTGGGCATTTTTGTTACAAATTCAGAATGGTGTTAACTCGAAATTTAGGTCCAAGAGGTGAATAAGTTACTAAGATTGTAATATTACTTGGATGTTTATAAATCTGGTAGGGTAAAAAAAGAGCATAAAATTTAGACGAAAATGATATGTGGATACTCCCCTTAATCACCGAGAAAAGAATTTCTCAGCATGGCAAAAAAAAAAAAGCATAGGATGTATAGGGCTTACCCTGTCCTCATCGTCATCTGCAGCCTAACTACACTCACTGCAGGGCAAATGCCTGTTCTATGTTCCGCCAATCAAGCCGGCTCTAAATCTATTTGAACAAAAGTTACAGTATGTTAAACTTTTACGAGTGAGTCAATTTCAAGCTGGAATTTCACTCGCGCATATTCAATATACCATACCTTTTCTACTAATGGGTCTACAACATCCATTTTGATGCACTGCACACACTTCAGAATCCAGATTTTTGATATGCTGATTTACTTTGTAGCTCTCTCAATTAAAAAAAATTTAAAAATTGCTCACCAAAAGACAAAATATTTGTATTGTGAAAAAAGCATACAAATACCATATACTCCCATAATGAACGCACTCGCATAATAAACGCACCCCCTACAATCATCTGCTAACCGTCACATGGCCTGCGAGCTGGACCGGCGATTGTGGGACTGCCGGAAAGGAGGCCAGCGGGAAAGAGGAAGCGAGGGCACCGCTGGCCTTTTTGCTCGCTGGATCACTTCCGTCTTTTGCCATGTCTTAACCTTAATATGGTACAGCAGTCAGCACCTTCAACTCGAACGCTCCGACACGTGGCCTCGGCTCGCTTGGACTGAGGTCAGCGCCGGAATGATATACTTGCTGCAGTTGACAATAGAGAGAGCGCGCCTCAGTTTCGCTAGCAAATTTCTGTTTCCAGTCTGTCTGACCAGCGGGTCGAATGCACCGCCTTGGCATCCCGTTTTCGCCACGTTCCACTCGTGGCTACGTTAACGCACATCCCCATGGTGTTCGTTGTCGTATACTTATCTTGACAATAAACCATTGCGTGCAATAGCTTACGCACCTTTCGAGTTAGAATCCGTGGCTGCTGCTCGAAAGAAATCACATGTGTAAAAAAGCAGAGCAAATGCAGGTTCATGACGTTTGTAAAAATTGCCCAATAGATATATCTGAAATGTGGCGGCGTTGTTCATGTTCTAATTCATTAATTTTCAGATAGCATGAATTGAACTGTTCTCGCAATTTAGAGCGTGCCATACTGTCCGGTTCATGTTGCATGGAAGAAGTAGTCTTGGAGCGCAATGTTTTTGCGTGTCTTCAGCAAGGAAGAAGCGTGGATACGACGCAAAAAAAGCAATTCTTGTGAGTAGTTATTGCATAAAACCTTAAACCATCTTATTAAATAGGATACTAACTCTTCATGTAAAAAAAATACTCATTATAAATGGAATATACTAGACAGTGGCACTGAGAATGTGCACATACAATAACTCGTTGCCTTATCACATCTTCCTGATGCACGTCGAAATTTCCGTTGGCCTGAGCTACGGCGCCCCTCATAATCAAATTGTGGTTCTGGGACATTAAACCCCAGATATTATTACCCACACAAATCTTGCGATCCAACAGCACATCTTTCGTGCCGCATGAACCAAGCAGGAAGGCACACTCTAAATTGCAAGAACAGTTCAATTCACTTTGTCTAAAAATTAATGAATCAGAACATGAACAACACTATCCCATTTCAGATTTATTTATTGTGCAACTTTTACGAACTCCACGAACGTGCTCTGATGGAGGCGGAAATGTTGTACGCCCGTGTGCTCAGATTGGGGTGCACGTTAAAGAACCCCAGGTATTCGAAATTTCCGGAGCCCTCCACTACGGCACTGCGGCGTCTCTCATAATCGTAGGATGGTTTTGGGACGTTAAACCCCATATATCTATCAATCCATTAATGTGCATTTGCTCTTCCTTTTATACAGTAAAACCTCATTAATTCGAAGTCACAAGGACTGTAAGAAATCTTCCAATCAATCGGGTTTTCAAATTAACAGAACATACAAAAAGTGGGATTCAAGGAACTTGAAATTATTCAAAGCAATCGGGGCTGGTGGTTCTGCTGTGCCGGCTAGTTTGCATCTCCAAGAATTATGTTTTCCAGCAATACTTGGTCACAATTTTGCTGCATATGGGGAGGAACGATGAGCCTCGCTGCTACCACCATAAAAAAAAAAAAGCAGTGATCTACTAAAATGCACGCCTGCAAAAAACAAGACATCTTCACTGCAACACAGTACTGACACGTGGGCAGCATGTCATCCACTCCTTGCTGCATCAGCACATGATGTGGCCATTCGCCCATTCTTTTTGAAAGAACAAAGAATTTAGGGATGGACACTGATGAAATTCGCAATGTGTTTTAGCTCGAAAGCATCTTCATCGAAGCTTTCGAACGATTTCCGAAGTAGGTGTTGCAGGCAAGAGGCCAGCAGAGCAAGTACGCTAATTGGGGGAGCAACCGGCACTCAGTCGTTCGCATACATTGCAAATTCCGCCACACTGATGTCCTTTCCCAGAAAGATAGGGTGAATCATGGCACGCAGACGTTGGGAGAAACATGCAACATGCTGCACGCGCGTAGCACTGTGTTGCAGTGAAGCACGTCTTATTTTCTGCTGGAGCACATTACAGTTGATTGAGAGTGCTTTTTTTTCTATAATTTTATTTTGCGTGCTGGAGGTAGCGAGGCTAAGGTGCTTCAGCTGCCATTTATTTGTATCGCTAGGTTGCATTGTCCTGTGGCTCTTAGAAGCCATCGTTTCCGTGGACTTGTGGCAAAATCGGGATAGGAAATCGGCACCTGGTACTCAAAGTTTTTGCATCAACTGGCCTGGTGCTGATCGCCGCTTCAAATTATCGGCTCAAACTTGCGTTGCAAAATACTAGACTGTGGAAATACTTCGAATTAAGTGAGATTTCGAAATAACCGAGTTCAAAATAATGCGGGTTTACTGTACATGTGATTTGTTTTGAGCAACAGTCGCGAATTGGAACTGGGACAATGATTTATTATCGAGATAGGATATGACAACGAATGCCATAGGTGAGCGCGATAATGTAGCCTTGAGCGAAACGTGGTGAAAATGGGATGCAAAGTCAGTGCATTCGACCCGCCGATCAGGCAGACTATAAACGTGGGAAATTTGCTAGTGGAACCAAAGCGTGCTCCATCTGTTGTTACCAGCAGCAAGCATATAAATTTCAACGCTTGGCAACGGTGACCTCAGTCCAAGCGAGCCGAGGTCACGCGTCTGAGCAAGTTAAGGTGCTGACAGCTGTATAAAAACGGCTCCATGCAAAACTGTATGAGTAAAATAGCACGCCTTAAAGCAGCAAAAACAACAGTTTTTGATACCAAACCTCAAGTGAAATGCTGTTAGTATTAGAGATGATTGACCTAGAATGTGCGACTCTGGCATAATTTCCAAGGTCCAGCCTATCCTCGGAAGATATCTCTAACAGGAGTTAGTCAACTGCTGATTTTTCAGACATGCTTAAATATTCGGATGCTTTCAAGGCGCAGTCACAAGATTTATCGATGGCAATCTATAAGGTCTGAAAATTTGGAAAAGGACACTCTTGGGCGTCCAACTTTTTAGACCTTCTGCACGAACTGCTGGTTCAAAACAAACTTACTAGAGTCGTCCGCTCTTGCACCACTGCCTTTATGTTTTGCATTATCGTTTCCCAACGCTCCAGGAGACACAGCAATTTTTTTCCATGTTTTATTAGCATTGACGACACTCACCACAAACTAAAATTTGCAATTGGCGCATAAAGTGAGATTCACAGCAGATATCGCATGTAATTACAAGAGCCTGGGAATGCACCAAAATGCCTGATAAGTGTACTGAGGGGCACTGAAACTATTTTGATTGTGGCTGTGGAAATTTGACTACATGGGCAGACTTTAAAAAATCATGACGTCTTTTTTTTTTTTTAGAAAGCCAGACTTTTCGGCCGATTTACTGGCTTCTAGGGGGGTGCGAAAAATTGGACATCAATCACCAACTGGGAATACCAAAGGACAACCAGAAGCGAACACCTATTTGTTACAAACAAGAAAGCTATAAAGTGACAAGCTCTGTAGCATTTCCAAGATCGTTTCAGTGACATAACTTATTTACAACTGATTTAAACTTGTTTCAGTTAGTTTGCTTTTTTGCTGTAGTTTACTCTGTCTCCCAGATCAACGTTGATCTTTTCTGTTTCTTTTAGCAGTAATGTGGAAAACAAAATAAGGCATTCTTTTACCATTGGAGCAAAGGTTATTTTGTTTTAGATACAAAAGCTTTGTGCCCTTGTGCTATTTTTGAATAAACGTGTTGACTGAGTAGTGCTGCACTGACCCAGGGGGCAACTGCTCCTCATCGGTGGAAGCCCCTGAAGCTGCAGCGGGTGGAGTGCCTGCAGGGCCCGCCCCTGCAGCTGCACCTGCGGCTGGGGTCGTGCGGCTTGCACGACCACAGGGCGAGGCAGGAACACCGGTTCTGCGCTGGCGACTCTGCTGACCTGAAGCTCCTTCGGAAAACGTTTCCGTAGCAGTCAACCAGCTTCCTGCTTCCCCGCCACTATTGTCCATGCGGATAACCATGGTAGAGGTCGAGGACCATGGTGAGGCCTGGCTACCAGTGCCTACACCTGCATTCAGATTACAAAAGTGTAATCAACAGTAGAGTCTAACGTAAAATACATGCCCCGAACTACCACAAAAAGTACTGTGCGGCACTTGAAAGGACCAATCTAGAATATGCAAATCAATGATGCTTTTACATGAAATTCCCAATGCTATTTCAATAGCCCTGAAGAGCTGAAAAAATAACCGTCCATCACAGTCTGCACTAGCTGATCGAAACCAAGCAGTTGTGGCTTAGCAGCCATACCATGGCACTGCTAAACATAAGAGTGTTGATTTGACTTCCAAACAGAGTAACAATTTTCATGGGGGTCAAACATGAAAAAGACTTCCGCTTTTCGCCCCAGATGGCCAAATAAATCTGATGTCCCCCACTACAGCATACCTCTCAATTATACTTCTGTTTTAAGCGATGATAAACTGTTGAGCAGGGAAAGTGCTGGAGCCGACGCCTCAATCAGAAGACTAGTCTCTTGGCGTATTCCGTTGGCCGTTCCGATCACGACTCGGAGTCGACAGATGTCGAGGCCGCTCGCAATCAGAGCGTGTAAAGCGGTGTACCAACCCAATACATAGGCGATCTCAGAGCAGCGCACCACACCTGCAGCGCCACCGTGCAGCCACAACGGAAAGCTGCAGGGCAAACATTCCTGCACCGCATCGACAAATGGCGCCGATCAGTTTGCTGGACAATTCCGACATGTCTTGACACAACGGCAGCCTTCCGAGTTCAGCACACAAATCTGGCAATTGTTATCGTTCACGCTGCTATCTTCAAGGCAAATCATGTGGCTGTCTACGAGCTGTTGTAATGACATCAGTGAAATTTCCTCCATCTTCGCTAGCCGCCTCCTTATTTGCATGATGCATTTATGGCTTCGTAGATGTGAAGTCGCCATTAACAAGGCACGAGCACGAAGTGTTACGCGCCCGGCGATGTCCTTTTCCACAATGTGCACTCGCGCTGTTAGCGCTTATCACCTAGTTCACCTGCCGGCAGCCACGCGATTTGCTCGCTTGTGTCCCCTGATCCGTCCTTCAAGTCAGATTGTGCCACGCTTTCACGACGAAGTCAGAGCAGTCGGGAGCACTACGAGCCAAAGGCTGACACTCCAAAAGAACCAACTGAAGGTAGTCAGAGCGCTCGAATTCTACCAGCCACTTTTCAGAGCACTCCAGAGCTTTCTTAACACCCAACCAAATGCGCCATTTGTTGACTCTTTGATTACCATGCCTATTCAAATCTATCAATGGTGATTGATGCTTGATTCAGACGGTATGATGAACTGATGAAACGAACCCTTTAAATTCAAATTCAAATTATGGTATCAGCTTCGCAATGCGACAGTCCTGAGCAGTAATAATAGCCAGAAATCCATGCTAGCATTTCACTAGAGAGCTGCATGGAGACTGAGAAGATTTATTTTACCAATACTTAGTTCCGAAGGTCTTCTGCATTTATGATTTGTGAAGCTGGCCTTTTTAGCCAGTTTCCAGCAGTTTTGGTTTAGCTTCTTTTGTAAAATCCAACAGAGGGCCGCATCCAGTATCACTAGTCCGGTTTCATTGCAGGGCCATCCCGAGTGCTTGCATCACGTGCAGCATCTTGAGAAACGCACGCCACTCGAAACTATCTTGCAACGACACCTCAATTGAGCAATAAAGGCATGAGCTTTGATTTCGAAGATGACAATACTTCAGCTTCAATATGTGGAGTTTTTATCTACCAAAACCACCATATAATTATGAGAGATGCCTTAGTGAAGAGCTGCAGAAATTTCGACCACCTAGGGTTGATTGATATGTGGGGTTTAACGTCCGAAAACCACTATATGATTATGAGAGACGCCGTAGTGGAGGGCTCCGGAAATTTAGACCACCTGGGGTTCTTTAACGTGCACCCAAATCTGAGCACACGGGCCTACAACATTTCCGCCTCCATCGGAAATGCAGCCGCCGCAGCCGGTATGCGATCCCGTGACCTGCTGGTCAGCAGCCGAGTACCTTAGCCACTAGACCACCGTAGCGGGGCAACACTTCAGCTTCAAGCTCTGATGTACCACATCACAACGCCAGCTGTTTAACAGCTGGTTTGGATTTGCAGCCTCAATTGGTCTACTCCACTATGCATGCGTAGCTGCTGACCTTTGTGCACAATCTTACAGCTACTCCAGTGGAAGGTCCACATGTCAATTCTTGTCCTGCCGAGAAGGCCGCGCAAAGCAAACCTCGGCCCTGAACAACGAAGCAATGAGAGAAATTTTACAACTGTAAGCGATTTCGTCATTTTTTTTTTTTTTTCACAGTAGATGTGACCAGTGCCGTCCACAAAAACACAAATATAATATGCTTGGATGCATATTTCGGAATGCCAATTTAAGCAGAGAAAGGTGGCCCATGGAAAGAGCCAACACAAGGGGAATAGGTGAAGTTCGCTTGATTTAAGATTTAAAGGCACCGGCCAGGCCCTACACATCCTACGCGTTTTTCGTCATCTTGAGGTATCGTTTCAATAAATTCTTTACCAGTAGAACCAAATTTTTTTAGTTAATTGGCATCTATAAAAATTTGTAGCATAAAAACTGTAAAGTGCATAACTTCAATTCTGGTTATTTATGCAGAATACAAGAAAAATAAATTGGTTATATTGAAGTACATACGGAATAATAGTACCTAATTAATGAAAATACTGTTTTCAGATAATAGAGTTTCAAGTTAGAAAACCACTGAAAAGCAATCACACTTAGTCACAAACAGCGTACAACTATTTTATTTAATTGCTACAAGCTTGGTAATGATTGCCAAAGTCAATTTTTCGCTTTGGGGCCTCTCATAATGCTTGGCTTGCTTTTTTTCGTGAGATGCGATGCTGCTTTATCCGGTTTTCATCGTCGAGCGTGGTCAATGTTTTCCAGCAAATCGACTGTAGTTCGGCCAGCTTTCAATCCTCCCTATTTCAGAGTTTCAACTCGTGTGATACTACGACCATTAAATGCAAGAACAATAGCAATGTCACAATCCTTAAAACCCCCGAACCGAAACAAAAACACTGGGACTCAATTCCCATTAACTCAACACTTACACCCTGCCCTTCTCAGATGCTATTACACCTATTTGCATTAAAAATAATAGCCCTGTCCATCAAAGCATACCCGTTGTCCCCAGGCGTGTAATTCACCTTGAAGGAGGCTGAAAAGGCTGAGAGGTTTAATGATAAAGAACTTGCTGGTTCAGCACTCTGCACCTCAGTACATCACTGGCATTTATTCACATTTACAAGAGAACTCTATGTGTTGCTACGAAATTTACACTTGCTGAAGACCTTTTTTTTACCTTCAGCAACTAAACTTATCAAAAAACACGGCAAACGCAAAGTGTAATAAAGCTAGGAGCTGAAAGTGTTCAAAACAATGCGCTTTAAAGAAGAAGTGTGAATATGACGGCACACAGTGTCTTCAGACTGCTTAAGAAGTTACTCGAGAATTAAAATACACAGCTGACTCTTGACAAGTATTTTGAATGTTGTATATGAAGCTCTTCAGAAAAATAGACTGCAAGCACAGTGTGCATACAAGGGGATTGCACTAGGATGCGTTTTCATTCGCGACTCTCTTTCAGAAAAACTGGTTTTGAGCCACAAAAAATTATGTTTAAGAAAAGCACGAACTGGAAAATATGCACGCAGGAACTTTCTTCCCTAATTGCTAAAAAAACAAGCGATTTTTTCCCCAAATTTTGCCCTACCCTGCGCCCTTCAATGGGAATTTTACCCATCTTCCATGGAAATTTTACCCATCTATCAGTATTAGAGCCCCCCAGGTTTTTCTAATTAAAACCAACAAACATTTTAATGCAAAAATGCAGAATGAATCTGGGAAACCATTTAAGCTCCAACCAAAAAGTATGTGAAGATGCATAAACCCGATGTTTTGGAACCGACTTGGTTCCTTCCTCAGGGGGGCTACGTTGCAGCGGCGTCTTCAAAGCACTCGCGGGGTGGTTAATGACCCCCTTATCTTTCTCCCTCCCGTGTATCTTACTCACGCCAAAAAATGTATAATCTGATTTTTACTTCTCTAGAATACTTTTTTTTGTTTTTCTTGGAGTTCGTGTGCGTAGGCAAAAGGTGTACGCTTCTAAAAAACTTATTTTCATTCTTCATGGTATTGGTTTAGATCGGCCTCTACACCTTTTTCCTACTTGTTTACAGCAAACGAAGACCCCCCCCCCCACACACACACACCAAGTGTGCTCCCAGTCAATTTTTACGATATCGCATCAAGCAGGAAAAAAACGTGCCGGTATATGTGAATGTGAGCAATAGTTATTTAGGTGTTATAAAAATTTCTCTTCCCTTAAAACAAGAACTACTTTTTTGAAACTTTCTGTATGTCTTAGTGACAAAGTATACTATGTAATTTATACAAGCCATGTTTTTACCTATACCACTACATTTTTAAATTAAATCATAATACAAGTCCAAATTTTGTTTTTTACAACTCTTACAATATGTTGGCAATGTTTTTGCTTTATTTATTTGCTACCAAATTATTCCAATCATTTATTATTGAAACATGTAAAACAGAAAATACAAATATATTATGGGCAAAATTTTCACTTTTTTTAAACAAATGCTAAACATGCTGCAGCATATTGCAATTTTTTTCCAAGGTGACAAAGAACATTCAAACAAAAATGAATAAACTGGCATAGTCATGGAGCAGCAGCACCTTGAGATTAAGGAAAAAATGGTTTCCTAGTAACTGCTGAAACTAGTAATGCTATACAAATTATTTACCAAGACACAGTTTCAGTCCGGTGCCCAAAGTTTGAAGCCCCCTCCAGGCAACACAAAATTTTTCTGCGAATTATAACTCTTCAATAACTACTTCTCACATCCACATATACCCGAAAATTTTTTTTTTTGCACGATTGGTGATGGTCGAAAATTGACTCCGAACACCTGATATGAAATGACTTATGTATGTACCGTATTTACTCGCACTCGCAAAATTCTCGCACCCCCCACATTGCCTAACAAAAATATGACTTTTTTTTTTCTCGAGTAATTATTCCACCCCTGAAAATGGCCGCAATAATGTCGTCTGCTCGTTCCAGCCGTTGATGATGATCGTGCACACCATCTGGCGCCATCTCTTAAGCATCAAGCGTACTATTATTGCACAGAGATTGAATCTAAGCCAAGCCAAAGCGGCAAGTGCGCATTGCGACGTGTTTTGTATGTTGTGTCGGTAATCTTGTGACGTTATGGAGTGATACTGAAGCTAGTTGGCTGCTTTCAAATTGAAAGTGATTGATCATGCACTAAACAACGGCAACAGGGCCGCTGGTAGGCCCTTCGGAGTCGACAAGTTTTGTGTTCGCTACTGGTGATGGCAGCTGAAAGCCACCATGACGCATTGGGCCTGCCGTGTGCTTAAGACTGGGATTTATGGTAAACTTTATTTTTTCAGAAGAAAACTGTGGACGATTCTGTTAAATAGCCATCAGCCCAATACTGACATCCTACGCTTACCTTTTGAGGGAGGGCTCTTGTTGAGCGACGAACGCTACCGCTACGCCCGCAACGCCCACAAGCTTTGCCTATGATATTTTAATTCTCGACTATTTGATTGAACTTTTTGTGTCTGAAATAAATCTTGCCTTGTGTTGAACCTCTGCTTTTATTGTTTAGGTAAATTTTAATTAGTACTTCTCAAAGCTTGCTGGTAGTTGCTGGTGTGAGAATACCGATTTGCGGCCACTTCGTTTTCTTGTTAGCCCTGTAAGTTTTCGTGGAAAGTTTTCCCCACGTAATTCTCGCACCCCCCAACTTTGCATCAGTTTTTCACCAAAAAAAAAAGTGCGAGGATTATGCGAGTAAATACGGTACACGTATACAGGGTGTTTCAAGAAATGTGTCCAATATTGTTAAAAATCAGGAAAAGGCGCTAATTGCTCACAGTCTTTGCATTTCATTTTTCTGTAGTGTAAGGCATATTAAAAGGATTGAACACATCATTTAAAACAGTAATTAGAAAATTAAATTAATTAACTTTTTATTAGGGGAGCTAGGTAGTTAAGTCAAATGGGAGAGTTTAAGTGCTTCATGCAAAGAACCCACTGCCGCTTTTAGATTTCGGAGAAGCGGCCTGGCTGGGCAGATTTATCAACACAGTTTCATGGTTGAATCGTCCACATTGCCGCAGAACTGGTTACAGAATTGGGGTCAAAGAAATACAAGCTCGCAATAAAATTGTCCACCGTGAACAAGTAAAATACTGCACACAACCCAGCTCATCTTTGCTGCCAAAACGCCATGCTCCATTTTATGCATGACACCCGAAAGGCATAGGTTGACAATGGGGGTTGGCCCCCAATGTCACTACATTGCCGACGTATATTCTGAGGTTATGTTCAAATGCTTAAGTGTCAGTAGAGTTTGTAGGCATTCAGAATGGGATTTGGTCAAATCCCACAATGACTGCTCGTCACAGTGGGATTTGACAGCAGAACATTTTAATACTTTTAGGCATTTTCTCTGCAGTCACTCCTAGCTTCTCTTCAAGCACATTATTGGCAATATGACCACAAGCCCAAGGTGAATCAAATATTTAGTTGTGCATTAACTCTGGTAGAATGAGTCTAAATAATATGCACTACAGCACAGTAGGCTCATGGAAAGGACCACATGGCAAGTGCCTTTTCAGATGCAGAGAGGTGACAGAAGTATACCTAGCTGGGACGACTCCTCCACTGCTGCCGATGAAGAGCTGGGCATGGTCAAGTGGACTCCTTGAGACGTTCCCTCTGGCCTGGAGTTCCCACTGCTGCTTGCAGAACTTAAGGTGCTTTGGCGTAATGGCTGGTCAGAAGTGGGCCCATTACCTGCTGCCTCTGCTGCAGACGAAGACAAAGGTGCTGCCGCAGCTGTGGTCACAGGGGCCTCACTGCTGTTATGGGTCTTGCGCCCTCGGTTCCGTGCTCCAGCAGGTGTGCTCCACTGCCGGCTACCATGGTCCAATTGGTCATTTACAACGGTCATATGGCCAGACACAGATCCATTGTGTTGTTGATGGATGGACCCAGATGATGAGCTTTTGGGTGCTGCTTCATGAAGTGGTACACAAATACAGAAGGCACTATAATAAGTCTGGAAAGTTCTGTACATTCAACGCTCTACATTAAATTTACAGCACCCTAGTGCTATACAATATAACCTAATGAAACAAAACAATACAAAAAGCAATATTTGTCCTTCTAAATGATCTTTCTAAATGATCAAACTTTCTAAATGATCAAAGGTGCCATAATCCAGACAAGAGGAACCTTGTCTGGCGTGAATAACTTTGGTATCACTGCCCAAAATGTTTTCCAAGTATCCATGCCTGCTTGTTGCTGCAATATTTTTGGAATATTTGGACCAAAGCCAAAATTTTACTTTAGGTAAATTAGATTTATGTGTATAGTTGTACTATCAAAACAATCTCGACAACAATGCTGAAATAAAATAAATTTGGGTATTACAAAAATGTAAATATAGTATATAAGGAGATGATGTGTGCACATGGCAATTTAAAAATATGGTGGAAATTCTAGATTATTGCTTAACTCTTTTCCTAACGAATATGAGCTGACCTCGCCCACGCCATTCATACCATTCCTGTCAAAGACGAGCTGGGCTGGTCCTCAATGAGAAGAGCATTTGGGGGCCCCAATTCAGTTCTTCGCAAATTCAAAAGATAGTGCAGTAAAAAGTATTTAACAACGAGCTAAAAGCATGTATTTTGGTTGAGAGAGAACTTGATTCAAGTAGCTGGGCTTAGAAAATAGCGTCTGTGCATGCGGAGTGGCATGCACATGCCAGAACAGCTTCTATATATAAAGAAAAAATGCCCTGTTCTCAGACTTTTTGTGAAATGAATGAAATGCTTTATTGAATACGCATGAATTCACTTAATCATCCTCGTCTGGCAATTAAAAGCAGTGAATAGAACTGAATATAGCGACGAGCAATTAGGGCACTTGCTCGAGACTTTAGGCTAATCCATATTGGCAATTGGCACTTAGCATTACAGGAAGTAAATCGTTTCAGGAGTCACCTTCTCTTCTAGAGTGTCCTGTGGGCAGTCCTTCCTTTGGTGGGTACCAGCTCATGTCAATATTCATTCCATCCAGAATGGTCAACAAGTAGCTGTAACTACGGCCAGGTTTGCTGCCACAGCTCAATTCCAATGGTTGTGGCACTTTGTCCACTAAGGAGGAAAGAAATAAAGCAAACGAGAGTGTCAAGTTTGCACATTCAAAGGCAACTTATAGGTGCTTATGCAGTCAAGGCAAAATGATAGTCCAAACAAGTAAAACTTTCTATAAAGATGGCACACCCAGTACGGTTTCTAAACCGCCTCGCACCCATTTCTGCAGCACATGCAAGCCTTTGCTGAGAACGTGTAGAAAAACAATGGCTACAAGAAAGATAGTGCTGAGGTACACTGCAAAGCCTCAATGGTCAAAACATACTAATGATCAAAACTATCAGTGTGTGAATACTGGCAATTTCGAATACTAACAGAAGATGATTTGTAGAAAAAAACGGCCCAACTGTAAAACCGAATGCATGCATAGCTTTTCCACAAGCTTTTAAAATAAATTAATGTAAGTGTATTTTACAAGGCACCAGCATGTTGAGACTTCTAGTGATGCACTCGTTATGAATTATTGTGCAGAAACACTCATTTATTGGCATGTTCCTGGAGCAATTACAATCTATGTGCTCTATCTATGTGCAAGAAACATCTTTAGGTGGGAGAGACCATACAGTTTCTCACAAAATTAGCTAGAGGGAAATCTGGTGCTAGTGAGCTGCTGGATAGAAGGGAATGACGGGATATGCGAGCTTCGAACTTGACTCGGATTTGAATACCTCAAAGACGCGTATGGCTTCACGTTAAAATGGTTGATTTCTTACTAAAACAGCACGTAATAAGCTATTTATTTTTTTCATTGCACAGAAACATGTTTTATTTAACACTGGAACCTTCTGCGTCAATGTACAATTTTAAGAGGCGTAAGAAGTAACCAACGGCCGCTAAACTTGGCAGGCAGACAACAAAGAGAGTGTTATGTCTGCTACTTTTATGATGTCTGCTTCTTTCGCAGTTTCGTTGTGCCGTCAATGTAAGTACCGTTGAGGTAAGCAGTCGTATTCGCTTTTGAGTCGAAGCCTCACTCAACACCAGATAACACAAGCCTCGCAGACACATATACCGTCATTCCCAGTGCTCCAACCTCTTAAAAAATGCGCATAGACGGTGCCACTACCCTTCCCTCTAGGTATATTTGTGAGAACTCCATGGGGAAGACCCACTCAGTTAGAATTACGCCCACTCACTTAGGCAGCAGGATGCAATGTAATGCTTGCGCAAAGATGCCTCTTTTACTAAAATTTAATATTGTTCATGTAGCAGCTTGATAGATTATTGTTTTACATCTTATTATTGAACATGAAGGTACAACTTATCCTCTGTGAAACAGCAACAAAATAAGGCTTGGTGGTAAAAAAAAGCTCTTTTCTCATGCGTGTGGAGGGGATCAGGTTGAAATAGAGCAGAAAGATAATCAGGGGTTGTAGTAGACTTTAGTGTTTTGAAGTAGCTCAGGCAGCAGAAATAACGCTGTCTTGGAGCAGCTTTGGCACAGTAAAATGGAAATTTCGGAGCACCAAAACGTATGTTTTGGAGTAATACAAGTGTCTTTGACCTAAGGTCTAACATCATATTCAACTGAAATTATTTCTGGTGAAAAAATTTCCAATTTGGTTCCCTAAACATTCAGTACTAATGAGCTTACCAGACTTACCTCCCACAAGTGTGTGGGTGTGTGTACGTTGCCATAATTGAACATCACAACTGACAGAGAAACAACTCAGAAAAAAAAAGAGAGACAAGCGATCCTTATCTATTATGTTCATGACCACTTGATAATCACAGCACAATCCGCTTGGCAGAAATTTCTTATCCCCATGCTAATTAAACACACTACTCTGTGCTCAGTATGGATGGAAGTGGCGACAAGCAATTTACATGGCAAATCCACGCGTACGGTACAATGAGCCGTCCGACAGTGATGGTGTGAACAGCATAAGCGCCGCTCTGCACGCAACTAACCAGAAGATGACAAGAGCCCACGTAACCACTCCATGTTTAAAGAAAACTGTAACTTGTCGCTGAGTATCAGTTAGGGGTAGAGAAGCGCACATATGTATTGGGGAAAGCCATTAGTGTCCTTTCTGTCGCTATCTGAATCACTGCGTATTCCTCATCCTGTAATACTTTTAAAATGCTCGTTGATGTCGCCATTACACGCTACAAAACGATCATGCAAAAGTGCCAGCTTTGTATCTTTTCCGCACTCTGGCAAAAGGAAAGAAAAGACTTTCTGGTGGGTACTTTGGGCAACATCTGCTGTTTTGCTGCATTTTTTTATTGGTGGCTGAGGCGCACATCAGGAGATACACATTTGTACTTGTTTACACGCACTGCCAATCAGTGCATGACCTTGCTGCATTCCTGGCTGGTATAAATTATCAAGGTTTCTCTGTATTGCTAGATAATTCACAGTTACTCATGTTGGTACTACCACTCCTGCTGGGAAGCCACGGTGATAACAGCGATGGGACGAGCACTAGCAAGCCCTATGAATAAACTGAATTACCCCTATGAATAAACAGAATTACAACGTCATCGAACCCTGGATTATCTAGCCACCATACCCTGGATATGTATGCGGCCACTTCCTTTGCCACTTCCTATGTTTATTTTCTGCCTTTTTTCAAAAACCTATCAACGAGGTTCTACTGTATATCACACCCATGCTTTTAATTGAATGCTTTATTCAACATGCATGCATTCACGATTTGCACTCGCCCTCAGCAGGTGAATAAAAACAATGAATGAAATTGTGAAAAAAGGGGAAAGGAAGAAGAAGCCACATATTCGACATTTCTCAAAAAAAAAAGGGAGGGAGGGAGGGAGATGCTTGCTCGAGATTTTATGGCCTTGCTTCAATAAAATAGCAGATTGAGCATAATTAATTGCCTATTATTGTGTAAGTGCTGTTTTTTCCTTTAGTTATTAAACACTGAATGGCCTACCATCATTTACTTCTGCAGTCTATTTTAATGACACTAAAAGGCTCCCCCCCCCCCCCCCCCCCAAAATTAAACATGTTACAGTGATCCATAGTAACATGACATTGAAAATATTAATAATTAAATAACTTACATTTTCCATCAGCCTTTTCTAAAACATGGTAGAGTTCAAGACAGCCTTCACCAAGGAGTGCATCTTTCATTAGGGAGTTGTGGTTGAAGACACGAAAATGGAGCTTCGAGTATGGAGTCACCAACCTGCAAAAATAAATAGAGGTACACCTGAATTTCTGCAGTTTATATTTCAACCACCCTAAGAATTGCAAGATCAAGCAAAAAGGTAATAATAAAATAAATATAAAAGACCTCACTTTGCAGTTCACCACATTAAGATCAGCATGGACACACATCACCCACCACAGTGCTTGAAGTGAAAAAATTAAGCAAATGTTGAAAATATGCACGGTCGAATACACAATGTAAAAATATATGACTACCATGAACTTGTGAGGAAACGCATCCTTCCCCATTTCAAGAGGTATGAAATATGCATTAGTAACTGAGCAAGCGCACTGCCCTCCCCCCCATCCTATATTGAAATTTTTTAATAACATTATTTGGGGGTCTTACGTCCCAAATCACAATATGATAATGAGAGATGCCATAGTGGAAGGCTCCGGAAATTTTGATCATCTGGTGTTTATTAGCCTGCTTTTTTTTTGTCTGGCTCGTTCTCCACTACAGGGTCCTGTAGCAGTGTTTCTCAGTAACACAGGTTCTGAGAGTCTTTAAGCGTGCGGATGATTTCATAACACTTTTTAAGTGCGGTGCCTAAGGCTTGCATTCAGAGTTGCCACAAATTGTTACCACATTTGAAGAACGTCTTTCCCACCTTGTCACAACATATAGAATTTCACATGATGATTCCTTCCAGTTAAACAAAAAAAAAAGGTAAATTCATGAACGTTGAATAAAGCTTTTCATTAGAAGCTCAGGCGTGCATTTTTATTTTTAGCGGCTCCTTTGGGATATGCTGAATTTGGGTGAGTGACTGGGCAAGTGCCGCCTCTAAAAATCTTGTCCAATTATTTTTCACCGGTAGAAGAGTGTGCTTGCTCAGGATTTGACGGTACTACTAAGAAATGCTAACAAGATGTAGCAGCTACCAGTTTGCACCAGTTGGAATTTTTCAATATTTTGTATTCCATTACTATGGCATAAATTGAGGAAAGCTCCCATTATAAGTATTTTTTTAAATTTGAGTGTATATCATAACCAGCAGCCAATAAAACACACATTTTCAAATTGTAAATTATTAGAGAAAAAATAAAAGCACAATCCTAAGGCTCGGGTGTTACACGAATGTTACGATTTCGGGTGTTACGAGAGCTGAAAGCACAGCTATACTACTGATGTAAGAGTCTTATAAATCAAGACATGTCCTGAATGGCTTCAAAATAGTATCAATGAGTAATCGGTCTCATTTTTATTACGAGACAGCTCTCCACTCAGATATTACGTCAATTCAGTAAAAACTTGGGCCACTTGGTACAGCAGATTTAAATTTTCGGAAAAAAAAAAGTGTTGCAAAAAGAAAAAAAAATGCAGAGAGTGACACAAATTGTAGTATGTGTGTCACTCATTTCTGTATGCTTTTTATAAGAGCTGCTCACCAGAATTCGAACCTCTAATGAATGAATATGCTACGAAGCCTAAATTCAAAGCATCATAAATATTTATATGACCAGTTTAAAAATAGCTAAAAAAGAATTCAAAAGTTGTCAAAACTTCCTTATGACATTCTCATGGTGCCAGATATTACAGATGCATACACACACTATGGCGCAGTGTTGTAGTAAGTTGGATATACTCAACGAATTTTAACGCCCCACTTGTGATGGAAGCAAATTTTTGATTTTTTGAGCGGATTCTGGAGGAGAAAAAAATGGATCTTTGGAGCAGCTACACTCAAAGCTCATTATAACAAAGTTGCATCTTGCAAGAAAATAAGTTCATTATATCCAAAAATTCGTTATAAAGGTTATCCCTAACACTGGTATCTACTGCAAGACCATTTCTAAATTACTTTGTTATAACCAATATTTCGTTATATCCATGTTCATCATATTGAGGTTTGAGTGTATTGGTGTTTTCGGAGCAAATTGCAAAATATTTCAAATGACTCCTGGAGTTTATTGCATCAGTTAAGCCTCTTATAAATATTATATTTATTATTAAATATATTGCACACACAATAATCATAGCAAATTCATAGCAATAATCATAGCAATAATCATAGCAAACAGATGGATGGTTTTTGAAACCTAGTAAGTGTTATTTTGATATCTTGCAAAAGTAGCCAGCATTGATATTTTTAAAAATCATATAAGCTAAATAAACTAACATTTAAAATACAGGCACTTGTGGTATAAACGAGGTCAAAGCTGATGAAAGTGCTGAATGTAATCAGTCACATATCAAAGTCCTCACAGCAGCAGCTAGTATGACTAAGAAGTCTCGCACACATTTTATCAATATAGTCTGTGTAAGGTATAAATACACTATATAAGACGTACATGAAAAATGCTAGTATGTGTAATATTGTCACTGTTCTAGTATCCAGCTACTATACAAGCTGTACCCTAGATAACAGTATACAGCTTGTTTTTGTTTTCATTTAGACTCACTGGATGGTCAAATGGTTTAACCTCATTGTTTTAGTTTCCCCAACACCATTTCAGAGCAGGTTTGCAGCAGCTACTAACAAATATTGCACTTTGGAGCAGCATGGAGCAATATTTCTCTTTTGGAGCCGTTTGGAGCGATTCGAGCAGCACTTCTATCACTCATGGCCCCACGTTGCAAGGCCTTTAACTACAACAATGGGCTGAGGCGAGCTTTGTTTTCAGTGATGTCCCAAGTTTCTTTTTTCACTTTAGAAGCCTCCTGAAGCCACTTGATGCATGTTCCATACAAGGGAGCAATGAATTATTTGTGAGGCACGTAAGGAAACGAGGTGTGGTTGAACTAAAAACCTTGCAGAAAGAAAGTGATGGAACTGATCTGTCGAGACAAAAGGCTTTGTACAATGATCATGCTTAGCCTTCCACCAAATATGCATAACTTTACCACATCATACCCGTACACTAATCATTGCACTGTATACTTAAAAAATGTAAAAATGGAGAGAAAATTGCAAGAAAGAGGTACTTACACGGGAAATTGCTCATCCCATTTGGGATTGCAGGTACTTTTGCTGTACTCTGTTTTGACAGGCACCCCACCATCAACACTGAGCTCAACATAAGGGTCTGGTTTGAACAGTATTCCAGATGAATTCAACTTTGCTGAAACAACTGCATGGCACAAATAAAAAAGAAGTGTTAGTGGGCAGAGAAACAGGCTAAGCTGACATTGGAACCAAAGACTTGCCTGTCACATTAAGTTCAAAAAGAGACCCACTTGAGGAGCCTTCTGACATTTTCCAATTTCCACCTACGACTGAAAAAGAAGAAAAAAAAATCAATGAAAAAAGCCAGAGCGGATGCCAGGACATTTAGGTAATATATACTCATGTTTGAATTGGAGAGTCGGACGGAAATCTGTCTATTTGTAAAAAGGCGTGGGGACAATTAAAATGAATGGCCACGAATCTACTCAGTTCATTTGGGAACAAAACTCTTGTGCAAAAGCCATTGCTACTATTTATGCATTCAAGGTTGGTGTTTACTTGTCCTTATGAACTCATCTTTGCCCAAAAAGTGCCTGTATACTATGTGGTAGATGCTAACGCCGTTCCTGGCAAGAAGCTGTTTGTGTTGCAGCCAATAGCAGCCATGTTTCATTTTAAGCCCATGAGGTGGTGGTGTTGCTGCTCTCCCAGAGCCACAAGTCAGATACAAGCGTTCATTAACTGTCACTAAATGACCAGCCATTAGGAGTGCTAAAAAATTATTTTCTCTCCATTACTTATAGGAGAACAAAATAGCAAGCCTAACTCAGAATGCTTCTGAAAGGAGGTCACTGATAAGTTTCTTTAAGCACAACTGACTAAAAGAAAAATATATCTTTCAGACTTTTTCTTTTCTTTTGTCTTTCCTATCTTGCTTTTACTTCATAAACACACACTTATGCCTTTGTGAATGCTGAGCAGTGCCGAGGAGCAGACCCCATTTGTGGTCGCGCTCCATCATCATGTCCAAGGCACTAACTACATATGTACAGTGTGGCCAAGCAATGTGGTTCTCTGGCTTTTACAGGGTGATACGTGGCAATACATAATATTAAATGAAACCATAACGACTAGGAAACCATAAAGACTTCTTGAACCTATTTATATTTTCCCCCTTGTTTAACCAATCCCTTGTTATTCTCATTTTTCAAAAAAAGATGGGCCACCTACTTGCAGTTACGATTCTAGTAATATGATTGAGCAATACCATTTAGGCACAGCTCTTGTAGCAGTTACTTGCCCAAAATTTCTGAATGCAAATATCCAATGTCTCCAACATACATTCATGTTTAGTCAGAATACCCAAAAAATGAAGGTAAGTTGCTACTATTTGTCTTCTTGTGGAGAGCCTTAAAGGGCCAGTAAACAGCCCTGAAGTCCAAAAAATTTTTAAAAGAGATATATGTGCAGTTTTTCTTTTCGTACATGCTGCCACAAGAATTATGCAAATACGTGCTATATTAAGGAAGTTACAGGGGTTAAAACATCGGTCTAAGCTGGTTTCAAATTTTCGCGCAGCCTCGCCCCCTTATCCCTTCCATGAAGGGGAAGGCGTAGCTCATCGTTGTGACTCCACAAATGTGTCGGCCACAAATGATCAGGTCCCCGATGTACATCACTGGATGGCCGATTTGCTTCAGCCATGCAGTGCGCAGGGCCCCATCATGAGGCACCCGGTGCCAATGCTTCTCCGCTGCCCCAGTCGCTCAATTTGCAGCCAACGACAGAGCAATGCTTTTCACCCGTGTTGCTCATGTCAAGGGCGAAGTAGTTCGTACGTGCGCACAGGCGCTGTAGTTGAGCGAAGAGTGCAACTGCGAGGCTCATTTTTTCACCACAGTGCCAAAAAACAAGGGGCACTTTCGTAGCTGTGGGTGGGAACATGAACTGATGTTGACTTCACTACTGTTTTTTCACACCTCATTTAGAAAATCGGCGAGCTGCGTGCTACGTCACGGCGCCGATCGTTGAGTTGACGTCACTGCGCGTCAGACAGTCAGGCGTAGGAAAGATGCGTGGGAATTGTTTTTCGAAATAGAGGCTCTGCACGGCACGCAGCGCTGTAACATTCAGAAAACGTGATCACTGGTCTAATCTACGAATTGCCGAGCTTGTATGGGGGGTGTAAAAAAAAAAGTCGGAGCCTATTTACTGGCCCTTTAAGATTCTGTAATCCTGCGTAACATGTTAGGTCACCTAACATTCCCCTGTAATACATTACTTATTTACATATGAATCTGCACCTCCCTAATGCTTTAGTTATAGCAAGTGCAAGCTGTGTACAATTCTCAAGTAAGTTCAGTTAGCTATAGACAACAATAATGCTAGTGGCATGTTGTTGGCAACAACATCCTAATGGATCCTGGCGTTGAGGTGTTGCACTCTGCTTCCCTCAATTTTTTTTTATTCTTGTGATAAGAAAGGTGACCTTTGCTTTATTTTTGTTGGGCGTCTCGGCCGCCTATGTGTTAGCTAGCAGTACTGACCATAGTACCATGTGGGTGAGGAGCCTGAAGCCCCCTTCCCCATGCATTGTTCTTTCGAGTGTTTTGCATGTATGGAGCAGGAGTGATGTAACCCGTGGCTGTATGTCTTCTGCACATCAACAGTGCCAGTGGCCAGAAATGCAGGCCTGAGTTCAGGCAATGGACATGCCTGGGACCTGCGCAACCGCCTGCAGTCGCAACCAGAAGACGTGTCGGCGCAAGCGATGGTTCCTTGTGCCGACGGACACGTTGCTGTTGTGGGAATGATACTGTGGTGAAGTCGTTGAGCCGGACAGTGCAGCAGTGTCGACTGGCAGCGGTTTCGTTGTGCATGGACATTCTTTAGGGACATGTGTTGTCATCTTTTGTTAGAGCTTGTGTAGCTGATTTCTATCGTGTTTTTATTTTTATTTTTCGGGATATAGTTTGAATTAAGGTTGGGAAAACGAGGGGGTTCTAACACCCCCTGTAAAGGTGTTTGTGCCTTATGGTGCACGTGTCTCGCGCATAATACTTCACTACACACCGTTCTTGGTATGTCTTAACAAAAATAAATTTTTGTACAGACTCACTCGCTGGATTTCGTGCCGATCGGTTTATGCCCCCGCGATCTCTGACGACAGCACAGCTCTGGCCGACTGGCTTGCCCTACGCCATCTTCTGACGCCGACAAGAACTCTCACTGAGTGGTGCCCCGCCCTCTTGTTATGACCGGCATCAGTAGGCGCCATGCTGTCGCTGAGAAGCGTGGCCGGGCAGCGTTCCCACGCCTAGAACCCAGTTTTCTCGGAACCAGCGTCCAGAGATGACGGGGGAGCGGCGCTCTTTTTCGGCTGCCTATGCCCGCCAGGTATTGTCCCTGCTAACCGGCGGATGAGACGTCGTGTCGCCACGAAGCTATAAGCCGTTCCAGAGGGGACAACAAAGACAGCGTCTTCCTTTGAAGAAACGGCGAACGCCGCCACAAAGTGCCCTGCTAATTGAGCGGACAGATTGGCGGACCGTTTGATGTCTGCTGTCCGAAGCTTGGGACCCCTCGACCAGTGACACACACGACGAGCAAGAGCCCCTCTGGCGCCACCTTTCAGTGCAGTGATCTTGACTCAAAATTGGATGTTCACGTGCGCCGGGCATGCTCGTACCCTTCACCTGTCGTGTGTGTGTGTGATTGGTGTTCCACTGAAGAAGGAGGAGCCCGACAGGGCTTATAACGGCGCCGCAGAGTGCAGGACGTCGCTCTGAACCAAGTAAAGGTTCAACCACCACGTTCGTAGTTTGTGAAGGCTCTGAACCAAGTAAAGGTTCAACCACCACGTTCGTAGTTTGTGAAGGCTCTGAACCAAGTAAAGGTTCAACCACCACGTTCGTAGTTTGTGAAGGCTCTGAACCAAGTAAAGGTTCAACCACCACGTTCGTAGTTTGTGAAGGCTCTGAACCAAGTAAAGGTTCAACCACCACGTTCGTAATTTGTGAAGGCTCTGAACTGTGTAGCGGTTCAACCACCACGTTCGTGGTTTGCGAACTCTTAACCTCATGCTGTAAATATTTGTAAATAGTGCCATAAACCTGTTTGTTTTTTCATATCCCCATCTTGTAAGCGCTCGTTTCCTCAACCCGAAGCTACACCACGCTACCACAGCACCCCGGGATCACAACAACTGGTGATCAGCGGTGGGATCACGACGACTGGTTGGCAGCGGTGGGATTCGAAGCTACAAGTGACAACAACAGTCGGCCCAGGAGAAGCAGCGGGCTCGAGACATGGATCACGTATGGGTGAGTGCTTGGCTTTTCCTTTGAGTGAACCAGGTTCTAAAAGAGGGTTAAATTTTAGAACTGGTAGTTAACTTTGCCGAAAGACTCAGTTTCGCCGTTTCGGGAAGTTATTTTTGGAAGTAGCGAGCACTCAGTACGATCATGGACTTACGGGAGCTGCAGAAGTCAGACTTGTTGCTGTTGTGTGAGGAATTGGGGATTGATACAAAGGGTTTGGCACGAAAACCCATAATCATTCAAACGATTAATGATTTGGGGGCTGATGATGAGGAACTAAGTGAAGATTGGGACCTCATCATCGAAAGAAAACTAAGAGCAGCTCAGATGGAAGGAAAGAGTGAACACGAAAGAGAAGGCCTCAAGAGAAAGTTTTTCAAACAAGACTATGAGTTGCGTATGAGAATGGGACTCCAGCAAGGAGTACTTCTCGAAAATGAGGCAGAGTTCGAGATGTCTAGGTACATGCAGCCATATGAGGTATCATGGGATATGGGCCTGTATCTTAGATTCTTTGAACGAAAGTGTAGTCTACTGAAGTGTGAGCGAGACACGTGGTCTCACAAGCTACTCACGGTTCTGCCCTGCGAGGCAGCGGATGTTGTTGCGCGACTCAGTGAGCAGCACGCGAACAACTATGAGGTTATTAAAGCAGAGCTAATCAGGAGATTTGTAAACTCTGTTAGCAAAAAGGAAGAAAGACTCACGCCGAAGTCTGAAAGCGAGGCGCGTCGCAAAGCGCCAGAAGTTGAGGCGCCTCATAAAGCGCGACAGGAACAGATCGCGCCAGAGAAGGGCCCGCATATTCTCGAATGCATCCAAGTAAATGATGTAGAGAACGAGGCCGTGGCCAGTCTGGAGGTGGGGACGATGTCGAAAGACGCTCCTTGCGCGGATGAAGAGGGTGCCAGCAGCCCTAATGGGCCCAGTAAGAGGCTGGAAACCTTCTTCGTGCCTCGGGGGGACCTTTCGACATTGTCAAATTTAGGCATGGTTAGCGCAGTAGCAGA